TTGTGTACATAGTCTAGGCCTAGTGTATGAACAGATGAAAGGGGTGACCAAAGTTCGTGGACGTTTAAGAACATCTTACAAAATGTGATATTCGATCTAGATCTATGATTTCTCATATTCTACACAAATTCATTTAGAAATCTATACCAAATAAACGGCAAAGTTTTTTTTACTACGTCTACAGATTCTGGTTCAACTAGAGACTAGAATCTAGAGTAGATCTAGATCTAGATCTATAGTCTTTTAGAGGGTCTAGAAAATTCGGCGCTTGTTCAGAAACCTATCCAAAACTCCGGCGTGGAGATACCCTACTAAAACATACCCAAAATGATGTAAATATTCATTAAATCACCAAATAAAGATCATGAGTTAAAAGTCGTTATGTTTATTACGGTTGCGGATGGGTGCGCGCCTGTGTGAAGTTATCTACCGTAATGTCTCAGATCCTCATTACGGTAGATAACTTCACACAGGCGCGCGCCCGCCCGCAACCACCATCGGTAGAGTACTAAAGGAGTGGGTAATCGACCAGCTTCAGTTTTCGGCCGATTGGTTGAATGCATGGTAAAACATCGCATAATAGCATATCACATATCCCACACATAACATACCATGCCAGAGTCACTGAAGAACCACATTTACAATGAAAAATATATCCTAAAATATCACATTTTAGCTATGTAATCGGCGGTCCCGCTACCCGAATCTGAAAAATCGAGTATCTTACGCGTGTCTGTAAGAAATTATGGGTACCATAAAAATGAGCTTTATTTCAAGTATTTTTCAGATTAAGAGCCTGATTTTGTACTAGTCGCAAGCTCAAAAGTATCTCACCGCATGTATTAAATCAATTGTGATTCTCAATTAAGCTGAACGTACTCGGTATTGAATTCTCTTGCATGCATTCACCTTTTTTTAAAATAAAAATAATAATAATTACAGTGCTTATATAGCGCCTAACACTTACTTTGTCAGAAGTCTCTAAGCGCTCTACAATAATGCAGCATAATTACCCTGGCTTTAGCAGTGCAGCTTGTTACGCGCGCTGCGTTTCTAGGAATAAATTCCAACCAGGTACCCATTTACTTCACCTGGGTGGAGTGTGGCAAATGTAGATCAATGTCTTGCCAAAGGACATTAGTGCAGCGGCGGGACTCGAACCGCAGACCTTGTGATCGACAGTCCGGCGACGTATCCACTCGACCACAACACCTCTAATAATTCTCAATGATCCGTTATACCAAATATAACTAGAATTATTGCAATCCGCGCAATGCCGCGCAATGCCAATGTATCCCCGGCAGTGGCAGCGATTTTGTGTCATCTTTATGTTGAGTTCGAAGGAGAGACAATTAAGATCCCCTCTCCCCTCCCTGAAACAAAAGGATGACGTAGAGATTGCCACTAGTGGCTTGGACTATTGTCAAGACTACAAGACTACAGAGGGGACCATAAAGCTTACAAGCTCTGCTTTTACCAGGGTCTCCTCGTCTTTCTTTAAGATAACTTTATTTTATCATTGCCATAAAAAAAAAAAAAAAATGCATTGTTAATGAATGATCTAATGTTATGCTCTATATGTGACATTTGAAAGAATTCAAGACGAATAAATGTCTTATCTTATCGTTTCTTATCTTATAACAAATCAGATAAAATGTCTTACTAAAATTAGGTATAATGATGATATTGTCGAAGATCCTGAACACATAGCCAATAGGCTTTTAACAACTTTTTTCTTCTATAGCGTGAGGGAAAAACTTGGCTGAAGTTATTCCATCTTCCGCCAAACATTTCTCTGATTACCTATAGGCCTACACACAATCCTATTTCTCACTCTTATATAGTTGAAGAAGATATCATTGATATTGTATCTAATTTGAATAACAAAAAGGGTCCCGGCTATGATGATATTAATAATGTTATTCTAAAAGGTGTAATATCTTTATTGTTAATCCTTTAGTACACATTCTTAATCTGTCGTTACTTAATGGAAAAGTCCCAGATAACATTAAAAACTCAAAGGTCATACCCTGTACAAAAAAGGTGGTAAGTTGAACGTTAGTATTATTATCGACCAATTTCTTTATTATCCTCTTTGTCGAAAATTCTAGAAAAAGTTGTTTATCGTAGAACTGTTAACTTTTTAAAAACCCATATTTTTTCCGACTTTCAGTTTGGATTCAGAGAAAAACATAATACATAATTATCAACATGCGTTATTGAATTTTATTGACAAAGTAGCTCATGCCAAATGCTCTCACCTGGTCGGTGTCTTTCTGGACTTCTCTAAGGCCTTCGACACCATCAATCATGAAATCTTATTATTCAAGGTTTCTCATTATGGGGTGCGTGGGAGAGTGGTTCAGGAGCTACTTATCCAATAAACGGCAATACGTATTCTTGAATGATAATACTTCCAATATGCAGAACGTAAATGTGGAGTACTGCAGGGAAGTTTGTTGGGCTCTGTATTGCTTATTATTTACATGAATGACTTTTGTAAATCATCCGATGTCCTTTCAATTATACTTTTTTGCAGACGATTCTAATTTATTTTATTCCCATAGAAATCCAAATACTTTAGTCAATATTGTAAATTCTGAACTTGAAAAAGTCACCCAATAAATAAGCTAATAAACTATTCCTTAACCTCCATACAAAAAACATAATAGACACACTACCCATGATTATCATTTTTGACGATACCCCTTGGAAGTTGTTTCATTCATTACATTTCTAGGCATTACTGTTGATAACTTTTGTGGAAATACCATATAGATTATGTAAGATCATTTCACGGAATATTGGCATAATAAATAAACTTAAATATCATTTTCCGACATCATCCCTACATGCTTTATTCATCTTTAATGTTACCATATCTGAATTATGGGATACTTGCTTGGGGCAATATGCAGCAAACTCTACTAAATACTTAAATGTTATCATTACAAAAGAAGTCTCTCCGTATCTATAATTCGGCTATACTCTCGTACACAGAACCGTTATTAATTTTGTTAATAGCAGAATATTAAAAACAAATGACCTGTATCTATTTCACTTAGGAAAATTTCCTACAGTTGAAAGACCTGTTCCAAATCGGCCATTTCATGATTACCCTACTATAGACAGTCTGCATCAGTGGCGTATACGCAGGATTTTTTCAAGGGGGGGGGGGGGGGGGGGGGGGGTTAACATTTTGAAATCGGGCGGAAAATTTCGCAACGACTCAGCCCGCCGCTAAATATGCGGGGGGGGGGGAACACTTTAAAAAAAAAAAAATTATTAAAAAAAAAAAATCACAAAAGGGGGGGGGGGGTGCTCAAAAATACACACATAATACACACATAAAAAACTCAAGGGGGGGGGGGGTTAATTATATCTAAACGTCTTTGATTACCCCCCCCCCCCCCCCCCCCCCCTTGCGTACGCGCCTGGTCTGCATGACGAGTTTCGCCTATACAACTCTTAATTCAGAACTTTATTAGCGAAGAAGTCTTTTATGTTTTATGATGGTCATATAGATTTTGGAATTTTCTAAAAAATTAGTGAAGGTATTAAAAATAGTCCATCCCTTAATCTTTCAAGAAAAAACTAAATATATTTTTGCTCAAATCTTATAGTAATGTACAATAATAATCTGATAACAGTAAGTTGGTAATCATCTTAAATAGAAAGGGAGATTTTCCTCTTGAATTGGTCAAGATGCCACCAAGCAAATTGTCATCTTCCCAGCACCCCCTTATTTTCGGATTAAAATTAAATTAAAAATAATCCATGATGACAGAAACTGTCTAGAAGCTACTCCGATAGCAAAAACTTTCGAAAAATCTGCCTCAGGCAATTTTGATTAGCCTCGTCCTTCACGCGAAGTGTGTGCGAACATTACAATTACCTAATATGACATAATCCAAATATGATTTCACAGCTATTTATAGGACAGCCAATAGGACATTAGAATTATCCTTTTTTATCCTTTGTTTTGCGAAAGACTTTCCGATCGTGTTCCTAGCTATAATGAACAGTTTTAGGTGTTGTTGGAATCAGCATCAAAATCCTACTAATTTGATCGCTTCTTTCTAAATATCACATACCATGAAAAATACTTGGCATATAAATTCGTAAAACTGGAAATATTGTTAAACCGTGAAGCGGCCTTTGAGCGAGATGAAGTGCGCGGATCCATGGGGGCCGAGCGGGCCTTGCACCCCCCCCCCGACCAAAAAGGTGGGGCTACACCCGGGGGCTACACTTTGGTCGAAAGTTGTAATCTCTTTAGATCTGAGAGCATTTCAAGGTCATTCGTCTTCATTGCGACACTAGGGACTTTTAGACTTTCACTGCCAGTGCCTTAAAAGGACGTCACATTGCCTTAAAAGGGCAGTCCACGTTCTCGTCGTGCAGAATCTAAAAGTCCCTAATCTTCCACGTTCAGACCGTGGGGGAAAAAAGAAAGAAAAAGCTCAGGAATTTCTTTTCACCTTAAAACGGAACCCATTGCACGTTATAGGTGAATTCACAAATACTACGTTTCAAGAAAGTATTCTTTATGAATCTGAAAAAAGACCATTCCATGTTGTTGTTTTGAAACTAATTAAAAAAAACCCGAAAGACTCGAAAACAAAAACAACAACAAAACATGCAATCCAAACATAATCAAAGTACTAAACTTATTCTCTTTATTTAAGTTTTGAGGGAAACATCTATATACAGATAACTTGGATACAATGAGATCATGGCACAGGCTCCTTGATCGTTGTTAATAGTTAAAATAAAGATAAACTTGAGTTCTGGTAGAAAAATAAATGAATTCTCACAGAATCAAACGAAACTTACACTGAATGTTGAAAGGGGAAGGGGGGCCGGGGGAGAGACAAAAACAGACATTTTCCATTTATGGAGTTTAAGTACAGTCTCTCAGGTATTGGGAACAACACAACACCGAGTATCAAAATCAAAACCGGTTCCCTACCCCATACGGAATCGGCCCAACTTTCAAAGACTGGAAGGAGCCCATATAAGAACGTTTATTATCTAGGCCTATAGATCTGAATGATGGAGCCTTATTAAATTTAATCTCAATTTTATCAGCCTCTGTCTAATTGTGTCAAATAATAGCTGCAGGGCACGAAAGGTAGAACCCAGTGAGGCCAGTAAGCATTATATAATCAACAATCTTGACTCGCGTCTTCGCTGTCCGACGATCGTGCATGGCTCCGCTCCTGCAACGCCTATAAGCTAAAACAACAACAACAAAGATATCTCGCTAGCTAGCTAGCGATCGAGAGAAATCTTGGAAGAATTCAATACACGTACAGTGTATAAGGTACACGTACAGCGTACAGTGCAGTGAATTTGAAGGAGCTCAACAGATACTGTACATGTATATATGCGGGATAAAATCATAGAATGCTCGTGAAAAACGAAAAAACTCGTCGGGATTGTTAATCATCTGTGGATCTTCATGCAGCTTTAGTCTGAGGGGTGATGTTCATAATGGTAAGTAGTATCCGAGCTACGTAGTAAAACGGGTCTAGACTTTGTCCCCATTCATGCCAGTGCACAGTGCTGGGATACGTTACTGGCTGGCGCTGGCTGGCACGAGAATCTCAGATGCTAGATCTACATCAATACATGTACATAGTCTAGGCCTAGTGTATGAACAGATGAAAGGGGTGACCAAAGTTCGCGGACGTTTAAGAACATATTACAAAATGTGATATTCGATCTAGATCTATGATTTCTCATAGATCTAGGAGTCTAGATCTACATGTACTCTACACAAATTCATTTAATTTAGAAATCTATTTAGACTAGGCCTAGACCTATTACCAAATGGACGGCAAAGTTTTTACGTCAGGGGTCTACAGATTGGTTCAACTAGATCTAGAGCCTTTTAGAGGGTCTAGAAAATTTGGCGCTTGTTCAGAAACCTATCCAAAACTCCGGTGTGGAGATACCCTACTAAAACATACCCAAAATGATGTAAATATTCATTAAATCACCAAATAAAGATCATGAGTTAAAAGTCGTTATGTTTATTATGATTGCGGATGGGTGCGCGCCTGTGTGAAGTTATCTACCGTAATGTCTCAGATCCTCATTACGGTAGATAACTTCACACAGGCGCGCGCCCGCCCACAACCCACCATCGGTATGCACTCGTATTGTGCAGCGGTTTGCCGTGAAACCTGTGAACAATCTGCAATTGCTGCTAGAAAAGCAAATGGAGTACTAGCTCGCATACGTAGATCATTCATTTGCAAGGACAGATCCCGGCCCCCCCACTCAGTGTTATTTAGGGTACGCATATGCTCGTACCCTCTGTTTGAAAGCACCCCCTATCTGAGGACTGCCAACATTTCCGAACCTCCCTTTCGCGGGCTTTTCATGGGCTTTTCCTGCCTTGGAGACCCCCCTAAATCAGGAAAAATGCTCAATGTACCCCCCTAAATTCGGAATAATTTCTCAGGAGTCTAAAGAGATGAGAGAGAAAAAGAAAAACACCCCCTTTTTAAAGAAATTTCCGGGTGAAAAGTCAAATACACCCCTTTTTTAAAAATCTCGGGCCGGACTTTGTCGCACGAAAAGTACCCCTTTACCAGACATTTTGGCAACACGCATGCGGTCATTCCGACCTCTGAGTGGGGGGCTGGGGGACAGATCAACAATTCCACTCCTCTATAAAGGTCTTGTTCGTCCCATATTGGAATATGGCAATGTAATCTGGCCCCCTCGCTATGTGAAGGACGAAAAAATCATAGAGAAAGTACAAAAAAGAGCAACAAAAATGGTACCAGAGATAAAACTCCAAAGCTACCATGAGAGACTTGAGAGTTTGAAGCTTCCCTCACTTAGCCACCGCCACTGCCGAGGAGACATGATTCAGGTGTTCAAGTTGATGCAGAACATGGACAGGTTGGACTCTACCCAATTCTTCACACCTGCAATCAATTCAACAACGAGAGGGCATGCTTTCAAACTGACCAAACCCAGGTGCAACACCAAACTCAGACAAGACTCATTTAGCCACAGGGTCCTCAACGACTGGAACTCCCTCCCTGAGTTGGTAGTATCTGCAACCTCGGTAAACAGCTTTAAAGCCAGACTTGACAAACACTGGAAGAAGGAGCAATATCATTCACCCTTCTCCCAGTTGACACTCCAATTATGACAATCCTGATATGACCCAGCAAGCAAGATACAGATGTAAAATGACTATGGTGCAATACCCGGAAGCTGGGACATCCCCCCCCCCCCCTTGAAGTTAGACCTGGAAGCTTGGCAGCTGGAGACGGCTTTCTTCCAGAAGCTTTGGTATTCAAGGTATTCAAGGTAAACCTTAATCTGTTGTGATCGTGAAGGTGATACTCAATAAATGAGGTGTCATATGAAAGAGCAGGTGAATCCCCATATTTCCGAAGGGGCTGCATCTCGGAATTCTAAAAAAATATCTTGGTCAAAACAGCGATTTAAATGTGTTTCCATGGCAACTCTGGAGATTTCCAACTTTTGAGAATCGACCCCCCGAGGGATAATTAGTTCAAGTCGTAAAGAATATGTTGATGTTCTTTTTTTTTCGCTAGCCCCAAGGGATCACGTAGGATTTAAGTTTGAAAATACCCTTCCCCCACTTTTTGCATATAGCCCAATGCATTAGAATGCAGCTGTTGAGAAAAACATGATAATTCGGCGTGAACCACTCTTTTGTCCATTCTGACCAAAATGCTATGAATATTACATTTTTTATTCAAATATCCAACAAAAATGGTGAAAAACAATCCTAAATTGAAAATTGAAAAATCGTTCAGATACCCTAATACAAGTATAGATGGTGGGTTGCGGGCGGGCGCGCACCTGTGTGAAATTATCGACCATAATGAGGATCTGAGACATTACAGTAGATAACTTTGCACAGACGCGCGTGCAACCCACCATCGGTAGGCTATGCACGTTTTTCCAAAAAATAACAAAAATAACAAGAAAATTGACACGAAGCGGGTAATAATAGACATTACGACTTTTAACTAATGATCTTTATTTGGAAATTTAATGAATATTTACTTCATTTTGGGTATGTTTTAGGATGCTCCACGCCGGAGTTACGGGTCAAATTTTGGATAGGTTTCTGAACAAGTGCCCTTTTACTTTTAGTAGGGTATCTCCACGCCGGAGTGATGGGTCAAATTTTGGATAGACTTCTGAACAGCGCCGCTTTGGCTCGATTATCTGACACAAACTCCTGCTCCGCCTAACTTAAAAGATTTCCTCAGTTCTTTTTCAGTCTTGTTGATACTGATAGTAGTTCAAAATTCTGATGGTTTTTCAAATGGTATTTCTGCAATATAATGGGCTGCAAAGCCGTCATGTGTACATGTAGATTGTGAAATGGGCCAATAGCAGCTTACCCCCTTGGGTTCTGTATGAGGGTATAGTTGTTCAGATTGGCAGTGTCAAGGTTGACAACTTACATCCGATAGCATGTTAAAGGGGAAGTCCACTCCAATATGAATTTGGTTTTTAATAGTTCTAAGCAAAAACAAGAGAAAAAAGTCAGTGAAAGTTTGAGGGAAATTTGATTGAAGATAACAAAGTTATTAATTGTTAAATAAAAAATTGGCAACACTGTCACGTATCTGTTCTAAAAAAAAAAAAATCAGAAATTTCTATTTTCCTACTTGCATTAAAGGTACTATGTCCCATTTGCAGCTAACCTCAAATTCTGTAGAACTTTGCAGGAATTATGAATATGTCATGTGTGTCCTATCTGTGAAATTTAAACGTTAGCAGTGTCCTCATATTCAAATTATGCAAGGAAACCCGTTTACTTGCTAGACTTCACTGTCAGACACTATTGAGTGACTGACTGGACTTTTTTCTTCTTCGGTAATAACATACATGAAAAGAGTTGTAAAGGGTACATGAGCATTTGTCTACATCAATAACCCACTTCTTGTGATGGCCAAGATTAAACTGATTGAATCTTTGCGCAGCATAAAATGTATGACCATTCGGTACAATTGTCTGAAAATCAAGACTATTACTTTTGGGCTCTATAGCCCTAAAGTCGATTTGACAACTAATAGTCGTTATTTTTCCACTTGAAGACATTTTCAAGCCCCACCTTTTTTAGGGAAGTTCTAAATTAGTATCATCTTTCAAATGCAGTTGGAATTTAAGTTTTTCATTTTTTGGCCTGCAAATGGGACATAGTACCTTTAAAACCAGCTAATTATTAGGATGGACTTCCTAACCTTAACAGACAACTACTGTAAAAGAAAGCAGACTGATGAAAGTTTGAATTAAAGCTCTTCCACACTTTAATAATAATAGTAATTCTACAATTATATTGCGCACAACTCTGCAGACATAATATTATAGGCACCCTTAGGGTACTTATCTACAAATCACATTACAAAATATGGTCATGTCTAGTTATTCTTTGTTTTTCTTTCTATCACCTTCTCTTATGTTATTCTTTGTTTTTATCATTCTGTCACATTCTCCTTATGTCTTTCCTAATGTTATTCTTTGTTTTTTCCTTCTATCACCTTCCCTTATGTAATTTTGTGTTTTTATCGTTTTATAATTTTCTTCCTACCATTCTTTATGTTATTCTTTCTTTTTTCCATCTTTCATCTTCTCTTCTATCTTTCCATTATCTATTGTTTATCATTTTCTCTTTCTGTCTTTATTCTTTGTTTCTTCCTTCTATCACCTTCTCTTACATTGTATGTAATTCTATGTTTTTATCATTTATATCACTTTCTCTTTCTTTTTTTCCTTATGTTAATCTTTGTTTCTTCTTTCTATCATCTTCTCTAATGTTATTCTTTGTTTTTATCATTCTCTCACTTTCTCTCTCTGTCTTTCCTTGTGTTATTCTTTTTTCCTTCTTTCTATCACCTTTTCTTCCTTCTATCACCTTTCTTATGTTATTCTTTGTTTTTATCATTCTCTCACTTTCTCTCTCTGTCTTTCCTTGTGTTATTCTTGTTGTCTTCCTTCTATCACCTTTTGTTATGTTATTCTTTGTTTTTATCATTCTATCACTTTCTCTTTCTGTCTTTCATTATGTTATTCTTTGTTTCTTTGTTCTATCACCTTCTCTTATGTTATTCTTAAGGACAACAGCTAGCCCCGTTCCTAAACTGCTATAGTCATGTGACCTAACATTGCGAAGTGTCAGCTGCGAACGTTTATATAAACCCAAAACGCCAAATTACACCCAAAAATCACACTTCAGTTTGGAATGTTTCGGGCTTGGCATTTTTGCCGGTAAAGGGTAGTTGCCTAGGTAACATCACTGAAACATCGTGGTCAGGCTCTGGTTTGGCATTTTTTGGCATGTTTGGATGACAGTGTAAATGGCCCTAAGGATACTCTTTGGTACCATTATCGTATTTACATGTACATGTAAGTCCAGATAACGCTCACATATTAGTTTTTCACTTCTCCCCAGAACTCAACCTTCTCTTTAACCCTGGGATCATATGTAGGTAGTTATCAAACAGATGTGGGACTGGATGATTTATGGTGTCTGGCTAGTCTCAAGGCCCAGACTCTTGTTAGTCGCTAGTAATCCATGACACAGTAGTAATCCAAAGCAGAGAGTCTGGACCATAAGTCTATGCAGACTTCTTAGTCTACGGCACTCCATAGGCCCTGTACTATATTTGCCCCAGACACAGCCAGAGACTCCAAAATCTTAGGCTTGCTCAAGGAGTCAAGGTTTTTTTACGAACTTTACAGAATTGTGTCCAAGTGTCAACTAGAGACTATATAGAGTCGGTGCTTACAGACTAACGTATTGCTACATATTAAAATTTGTACAAACAACATCTTCTATGTTTACTGAGGGAGGTGATTTTTTTTAAAACTCTCATACCCTGGTTTACTCATGAACAGGTGTACTATGTACATTATAAAGTAGGCATATATAAGGAACATGACTAACGTGGGTGGAAAACTGGAAATAGTGAGGCGATACAGCTTCTTGGAGTCTATAAATTTGCTGGCTGTTGTGTGATGCATTAAACTCTCATCTCCCTACATGCTGAATGTTAAACAGGAAACCAGACGAGATTGCGAAGGATGTCCTTTGGTAGTAGCCAGTGCTAGACAAGTGCATTGGTATTGTGATTTTTGATTACCAGTCAAGCGTGGAGTCCACTATTATGGCTGTCCTTTGTTTACCGGTATGTACAATTTGTATTTATCAGGTGGGCTGTATCTAATACAGACCACCTTATATTTTTGTTAAAATCGCCTTTATTTATTATCAGGTGGGCATCATACTTTGCATCATTAGGCCTTTTTAGTTTTTACATTGCAGAAAAAAATAAATTTGAAAAACTAGTGGATTTGTAAACTTAATTTCACTTTGACGAAATAACAGAAAAAAAACTTAAAGGTAAAGACCAGTTATGGTCATGCGATTGCATTGTGAAAGAAACGTTGTGGAATCAATCAGAAAAGGTTGATCATCTAGCATCTAGCATCTGCAAGGTTCTGGAATCATCAAAATGATAAGAAATTTGGCCCATTCTTCGTAAAGTTACAAGCACTATACACAGAAAGATGTATATGGGACTACCCTATATCTCTCACAGACCATGAGAGAAACAAATTTACCAAATATATGAATTAGTAGGCGTTTCCCCGGCAAATTTTGTATCATCATGTATTAGTCAAAACATATTCTTTCACATGATTGGTAATGAGAGCTTCCATTTCATTTTTTGAAATTGGGGCGTTTCCAATACTGGTCTTTACCTTTAAGTGTTTGATAATTCTTATGTTTGTTTGGTGTGAGTTGTGCACAACCATCGTATGTCGCTGCTCTGCATGCGTTGATCTTGGGGAAGCAAGGAGAGTCGGTCACATGACCGGAAAAAAAGAAATTGGTGAAGGTTGGCCCGCGTTTCAAAAGCAACACTGCAGAGGGATTTTTTTAAATCATATGCAAGTTTTTTTTTTATTGTTTTGTAGTTACCTTGTGAGAATGTGAGAAAAACTATGGTTTTTGCTGGCACTTGCAGTGTAAATGCCCCTAGAGACCATTGGAACCTTCAGTTCATGAGAAGAAACCTGGTTGAATGCTATTTTAACATAAATTTATATCCCCCTGCACTACTTATAGCTACTTTCGCCCTCTACAGTACATGTATGTAGCAAACAATGCCTAATTGGTGTGTTGGCTCAGTCAGTAGAGCGTCCACCTCACAACCAGGAGGTCGTGGGTTCGAACCCTGGCCGCATCATACCAAAAAAACTTTAAAAGACGGGAGTTACTGCTACCTTGTTTGGCGCTCAACAATAAAGGGATAGAGCCAGGCGCGCCGGAAGCAGTTTGGGATTGGGGGGGCAAACATTCCAGGGGGCTCACCTTCCGAGGGCAGTGACGTAATGAGAAAAAACGTTCGGAAGGGGGGGGGGGCAGACGAAAAATCTGCATCACCACCAGTCTTACACGTTACATGCAGGTCCCGCGGAACGTTTTTCAAAGTGAAGTATTAACGATCAGGTAGAGCGTAAATTGGCGTGGGGTCCAGCCTCGGCAGGGTGTCAAGGGGCTGAGCCCCCGGAAGCTCAGGGATTTTAGGTATTTAATTACGGTTAGATGAGCATCCAGGGGCCTCTTTAAGGCCATTGACGTGTTCCAGAGGGGGGGGGGGGGGAGCCCCCAGAAGCTCAGAGGTTTTAATATTTGACTACGGTCAGATGAGCAACCAGGGGCCGCCCTAGGGCACTTGGTGGGGTCCAGGGGGCAGGGCCCCCGGAAGCTCAGGGGTTTTAGGTATTGAATAATGGTCAGATGAGCATCCAGGGGCCCGCCTTATAGGGCCCTTGGTGGGGTCCAGGGGGCAGAGCCCCCGGAAGCTCAGGGGTTTTAAGTATTGAATAATGGTCAGATGAGCATCCAGGGGCCCGCCTTATAGGGCCCTTGGTGGGGTCCAGGGGGCAGAGCCCCCGGAAGCTCAGGGGTTTTAGGTATTTAATAATGGTCAGATGAGCATCCAGGGGCCCGCCTTATAGGGCCCTTGGTGGGGTCCAGGGGGCAGAGCCCCCGGAAGCTCAGGGGTTTTAGGTATTTAATTACGGTCAGATGAGCATCCAGGGGCCCGCCTTAGAGCCCTTGGTGGGGTCCAGGGGGCAGAGCCCTCGGAAGCTCAGGGGTTTTAGGTATTTAATTACGGTCAGATGAGCATCCAGGGGCCCGCCTTAGGGCCCTTGGTGGGGTCCGGGGGCGGAGCACCCGTAAGCTCTGGGGTTTTAGGCATTTAATTACGGTCAGATGAGCATTTTTTATGCCTTATTTGTGACATTGGCAGGTCACTTATTTTTCTTTCCGTCTTTCTTTCTTTTTCTCTTTAACATACTTTTTCAAAAAGTGAGGGGGGAGGGGCTCGAGCCCAGCCACTTTGCAGACCATGTCATAGAGGCTTCTAAATAAGCGTATTTTTCGCCCGACTGTAATTTGGGAATTTCTTATTTTCCAACAAACGCATAAAAAGGTATGACTTTAAAAAAAATGGAGAAAAAATACCGGAAAATCATGTCATAATAGCAACATGTGTAAATCACTGGTATCGTATAGATATACCCCCCCCCCCCCCCATCAGTACGCCAGCGTTCAGGGGCTCATGTCTTCTCACCCCTATAATAAAACCAAAAAAACAGACACGTTTTCCCATTCTCGCACAATATGTCCACGATATGCGCGTATCGCTATTATAAACCGTATAGGTAGCATGCGCAATGTTTATAAAAATTTAATTCCTGTGAACTTTCCTTTTCTTTGAATGGAATGGTATATGTGCTTTAATTCAGGTTTTTATTATTGTTATGTTCTTTTGGGTTAAAAATACAAACCATGTTTATTCCTTTACTGCTTTTTTTTTTTTTTTTGGAGGGGGGGGGGGCGTTTTGGGGGGGCAAAAATGCGTTTTGCCCCCCCACTTTTTTGACTGGGGGGGCAACTGCCCCCCCTGCCCCCCACTTCCGGCGCCTATGGATAGAGCAACGTCGATCTGTGCTGCTCAGTGGCTGCCGGGCTCACGATCAATTGGGCAAAAAGAATTTCCATTTTCGGTTTAATTTAATAAAAATAAAATTTGGAGTGGACCATTAAAAGATTATTATTATTAATATTGGTCCCCCTTCATTCCTCATAGTTTGAGCGAAATCGGCTGACAAATAAAGCAGATACATACATGTATGAGAGGGGGAATTTTCAGTGATAAAGTGAGCTGGGCAACGTGAGTACTTTGATGACCGTTAAATATTCCATACGATTTCGGTGTTATCAGCGAGTTAATTGCACCGCGTCGCATCCCCTGATAAAGAAAGAATAGAAAAATAGATTTTAATTCCTCACTTTGACAAATTAGGTGGTCTGTCTTCAATCTTTTGATAGACTTGAATATTTACTATATAGAGAAAGGGGAAGTTAAAACAATTATGATGATGATGATGATGATGATGATGGATTGTGTGAGAAAGTGGTTAGAACGAAACCAACTTACCCTGAATACAGACAAGACATGCTTCATGATTTTTGGAACACCGCAGAAATTGCTGAACTTGCAATACACACCAATCGCAATAAAAGTTTCTAATGTACCAATCAAGCAAGTTCAAAGTGTAAAATATCTGGGAGTTTGTCTAGACCAGCACATGACGTGGCAGGATCATGTGAAATACACTTCAAATAAAATTGCCTCTAGGTTGGCCCTACTTCGTAGAGTCAGGAAATATCTCACAATCGATAGTGCCAAACTACTTGCCAATTCCCTTATCCTTCCTTACTATGACTATTGTAGTGTTTCATGGAGTACTTGTAATAAAAGAACAAAAGATATCTTGATTAAGCAACACAAGCAGATGGCAAGAATTGTCCTGAAAATAAATACTTTGATTCCCACATCTGAAATGTTTAGTACCCTGAGATGGATTGACATGGAAAAAAGATGGGAGTTCAATAAAAGTAAATTAATGTATGATGTTATGAATAATAGTGCCCCATCATATTTATATGATATGTTCACCCTGTCCGCCCATACTCATAGATACTCAACAAGGAATGCTGACAATTTGGGCGTCATTATTCCAAGAATTAAAACAGAATGTGGAAAACGTGCCTTCTCAGTTGATGGTGCTCTTCAGTGGAATAGCCTACCCCACTCAGTTCGAAATGCCCCGACCAAGAATAATTTTTGTTCTCTCTATTTTAAGCAGCGATCTTAAAGATAAATTTGCCTTTCTTTCTTTATTTATTTCTTTCATGAATATTTACATAAATTTCTCAATATAATAATTTGTTAAAATCTAAATAGATCAATGATAATAATCAGAGTATATTGTTATCGATTTGAAATTGCTCATTGAAATTTATCATTCTTACTACGGCTTTGTTTCATTATTCACTCTTACTCTTTACTCACTTTCTGTTATATGTTGCTATGTATTGATGTTTTCCATGATGTTTACATTGTTCAAGTAGTTTGTTTCTTCATATATGTTCATTTATGTACAGGGCCCCCTGGAAAACAGTACTTTGATTACTGACGGGGCTACCCTGTTAAAATAAAACGGAATAAATAAATAAATAAATAAATAAATAAATAAACATGATGATGATCATGATAGTAATGGTGATGGTGATGATGTTGATTATGATAATGTTAGATGATAATAATGAGAATGCTAATGATGATGATGACAATGATGATAATGGTCATGATGATCATGATGATGTTGATCGATTTTGAGTAAACGTGTACACAAAAAAGTGTACGGAAGAAATAAAAATAAATAAATAATAAATAAATAAATAAAAAATAAAGAAAGAAAATTCTGACGAAATCAATAGGTGATCTGTCGTTGACAGCCCACCTAAAAAGAAAGAAAAAGAGATTCTGACAAAGATCACCTAAAAATAAAAGAAGATTTTTGGACTGTGTTTAAAATAGGCCTCAATTTGTTTTTTCTTCTACTTCTGTTTTACGACTTCACAAGTTTTTTTTAGAACTTGGCTATCATCCATTTATTGTAAATCAAATTATCAATGGAATTTTGCCACTTGAAAAACATGTACTGGTAGGGGTATAGGCTACACTTTGTAGGGCCCTTCAATCCCCAGTTAAATGGCCAATGTGAATGCTTCAACAAGAGTGATGACAGTAGATCATACATG